ATATATATATATATATATATATATATATATATTATATTATTTAGATAGAAATCTCACGAGCCATTTGCAAAGATTTCCAGTTGTAACAGAGAGAAGTAGTTCGTGAAGAGACATTTGTAAACAAAATTTCCTACTTTTCTTTAAACCTTAACTGTAAATATCAATTTAAATGATTTATTTTTCCGGAAGGGAGTATGAGAAAATAAAATTCTACGAGACTAATCACCGAGGAGTCTTCACAGGCGTCTCCTCCTTCGTTATCTTTATTTTCTTAGTTTCTTGCACCGCCGCCTCAAATTGGATCATATTTTTACTGTGAGGTAAACTTTTTTGTTTTCTAATCTGGTCTAATTTGTATGTTAGATAAGGCCTTATGCTGCTAGTGCAAGGTAACGAATCGAGACGGTATACGCCGATTTCTTCTGTTTTCATTACGACGTCCTTATCGCACGATATACATTGAACGTCTCTGAATAAAGAATGAAGAAATGGAATCTCGACATTTTGAACGAGTGCAAGTTTTACGTGCGCGCGATTCCGAAACGCCTACCTAAGCATTTTCTTCGTGCCAGCCGCTTCTCTTTCGCGTTTCATCTCCGCCACGCCTTTCACTTTCTCTTGTAGCGCTTTCAAGCGAGTGTTTACCATGTCTTTCAACGGTATCATTTCAATTTTGTCGACCTTGCTCGCAATCTCATTCTGTACATCTTCCAACGCTTGTTGCCAAATCGATTCTTGCTTATTCAATTTGTCCACGGCTTCCATGAGACCGCGCGTGAAGTCATCGCAGACAGAGTCAAGTACATCGTGTGACACCTATAACGATTTATCTAATATTTTCTCTATCTATATTAAATCTATATTATCTATAGTAATCTATATTAAAAATGAGAACCAGAAAAGAATTGGTTACTTTTTTCCTCACGACTTGAGCGTCCGCTTTATCGGCTAGAGCATCTTCGATATCCTCTTTGTCTGCTTTGATGGTCTTTAAAATTTCTATTTGCTCCAATAATTTCTATTGGTGTGAAAACGGTCAGGATAAATATACGGATATAAACACTATTGTATTAATAAAATTGGTCAACAGCGCTGTAATTAGAATAAATCTCTCTAATTCAAATGCAAAATATTGTTGAAACTAATGTATCACACAATATTTCAATAATCCAAATATCATTTCAATAATATTGTTCTTGAATTAAGAAGATTTATTCAAATTACGGCATTGTTGATTAATTATATTGTTACAACAGCTCTTTTCATGTATAGTCACTTGAAAAAATTGCATAAAACGTAAGGCAGCAACTTATGCGCGTTAATCGCTGTTTAATACAAAAAAGTAACATTTCGCGATACTTCAATTGGTCTCTTTTTATATTTGCTCTTAGAAATTCTTACGTTAAGATACGCTTCCCGGCTTTCCTTATCATCCAGCAGTTTATCCATGATCTGTTCGAGTCTCTCCACGTCAGTTTGAATCTCTTGCATTTTTGCAACAAGCTCGTTAATGTCGCTTGCCTTGGTCGTTGCTTCCACTCCATCTACTTTCTCTAGTAAATCATCAACATCTTTCTCTAATTTATCCAAGCGTTTGGTAATGTCGTTCAAGGCTTTGCCATGCGTCGCTTCTATAGTTTCCAAACGTCGTTTTACATCATCGCTTATCTCGTCTATTTTCAGCTTTTCAACAATACCAGTCCTCTCTGCGGTATCTGGATCTTCTGTATCGACAGGCTGTGGCGAGGCCTGTTCAACAACTGTCGCGGATATCTCATTTTCTATTAAAAAAAAATATATATATATCTGAATAGTTAAATGACGTATTTAAAAACCACGAATATTAAACTTATACTTAACAGACGTACGTGCAACTTTTTCGTTACGATCTGGCAGCTCTCGTTGTGTCTGAGCCGTATCTACCTTCAATGCAGTTACGTCATTGCGAATCTGTGCTATATCAGCAGTATCTAAATATAATATATACATATAATATATACAAATATAGATATATATTCCTAATTAGTAAATTATTTTCGGCCACTTGTCAGAAACCGCAATAACTATATCACGATTTTACAAGTGGTTGCTGTAGCAACGTCTTTAACGTCAATAAATAAATTTAATAAAAAAATTAAAAAAACAATAAATTTGATACGAAATCGTTAAGCTTGTTACCCGCATTCGTTCGTCGCGGAACGATCTCGTTTGCCGTTGCGTTGCGGACTTTGTCAGTCGTTTCTTCTTTTTCGCCAGACGGTACAGCCGTTTCGTCGGTCTCCGTGATTTCTGCTGCTACTTTAGGTTCTCGTGTAACGTCATCAAGACGATTAGCAGTAGCTGTAGCAGTAGCAATATTTTTCATTAAAATATCGACAGTCGCTCGAATATCGCTGATCTCTCGCTCCAGCTTAGCGACTTTATTCTCGAGCTCATCCAATCGCCCGTTGAACGAAGGAATCTCTGCTACTGCGGCTACGCTGACACCACCTTTCATCACATCTTGCAGCATTGTCGTGAGCTGAAATAAACAGTTTAACGTGTTCTCGCCTTCCGCTAAGTATTTCATCCTCCACCGTTGTATTAGCGAGAATATTTTTCGCGAAAAACTTACGGGATTAACAAGCAGTGTACCTTATCGATACCTTGTTCGCTCGCCTCCAATCTTTTATTGATGTTGATAAACTGCCACATATCTGTGACGGGATCCGTCATCCTGCGTTTTAGACGCTCCATCACTTCCGGAGTAGTGGATAAATCCTTCAAAGCTTGCAATTGATTCTGCAGCTCTTTCACCTGTCAGTATTATAATTGCTACATATCATCTTCTGTTGCTATTAAAAGATAGGTAGTATATAATTTATTATCTGTTTCGCACATACAGATTGCTCGAGTTGTTTAAACGCCAATGCCGTAGGGGTAGAACCGTTTACGACGGGCTCCACAAATATAACCGTTTCAGCTTCAGAGCTTTTCCCAGGACTTATTTGTTGCTTTATACCCTTCGTTACTTTTAAGTCATCTTCAGCTGATAATTAGATGCAAAATGAATGAAATATCTGCCTGCCACGACATATAGCTATAGTTTATTCTTCCGTTAGATTAATGAATGTACGAACAAAACGTTATTATATCAATAGAATTGGTTAACAACACTGTAATTAGAGTAAATCTTCTCAATTTAATAACAATCATTGAAATTAATAATTTAATTATTTAAACAATGTATGAAGTATTTAGTTTCAATAATATAATGTTATTGAATCAAGATTTACCCTAATTGTGGTTCTATTGATCAATTCTATTGATGCAACAGCATTTCCTCTGTGCAGAAAAAAGTGTTAGATTCAAGTAAATAATTGCTCCAATAGCAAATTTTTATTTAGATTAAGTAACTTTACTATTACTACAAGTAAATACTTAGCAAATATGATTATGTATTATGATTGTTAAGTGACATACTAACGATGTCGCAGACGTTATTATTACGTCACCATATTTGCTAGATATTTTATTTGGATAATTAATTAAGAAAATATTTTATTTGGATCAAGTAAGTATTATCTGATCCAAATAAATACTTGCTAAGGAATATTGGACTATTTATTATTTACTAAAATCTAGCACTTTTTTTCTGTATATATGTAAAAATATATGAAATTCTCGGAAATCTATCATAAGTTCTATACCTTTTGTGAGTACATCAACGCCTGTACCATCAGTTTCTGGAATTCGTTGGGATATTTTGCCGGTATCGTCGGTAATACTGTATTCATGAAGATGAAGGGATGGTCCTGGTTTTAAGGACGCTACCATAGTCTGTAACAATCTTCGCGTAAACGTATATACGAAACAGTCGACGTATATTGTTCATTTACTAGATTTACGGTAATTTTCGTACCTTAATACGTTTCGCATTTTCGCCGCGGTACTCCACTTTAATGGCTTGCAAATTTAACTGATGCAACAGGACTTGAAGAAAATTATGAAGGATATCGAAATTAACTGCGCCGATCTGGAACCGATAATTTCATGAATTTTCTTGTCCTATGTGGCATTGGTGATTATATTTCATTATTGTTTTACTTCTGGAGTTCCCAAAGCAAGATTGAGCAGTTGCGGAAAAGAAACTTGCAGGCTGATGACATCCGCATTATCTACAGAGGGTGAAACCTGCGCAACTTCCGCAGCCATTTTTCACATGAGAACGATCGATTTATTAAGAATTATAAATAAGAATCATAATTAGATGTAACTTCCCATTTGTAAAATGTTTGGTTACTTAACGAGATTGGCCGAATTGTCAACTTTCAAAATCGATCGCCCCTTTTGTACCTACATTCATCCCTTATATAGTACCCTAAGGGTGGTAAAGTTCCGTCCGTATATTCATAGTTGGCGCCACAAATATAATCGACACGTAGCGTACTCCTTTGGAAGATGCTTGTATCGTATAATATTTTTTTATTCTTCTTCTTTATATCTTTTTTATCATTTTATTTATTCCCATTTATATTATTGAGCTTCTATCATTTTTACTCTCTCTCTCTCTCTCTTTTATTTTTCTTCTCGTTTTCCCTCGTCTTGCGTTTTTTAAAATAAATTAATATTCAAATAATTCATGATTATCACAAACGGATATATTTTATGTAGAAACAGTAATTAAAAGTAAAATTTGTCCGCACCGTCAATTACAACGAGAAGCACACGCGACGATGTCAGCAATGTCGGAAAAATATTTCTCGCAATGTAATTTATATATTAATTATTCCATAAGAATGCGTCGTGAGAACCGTGAAAAGAATCCACTGCCGTAATCCGCGCCCGTCCACCCGTGTCTTTCAATCATCTTCGTCGTTAATCATACAACACCGATGCGGCGCGTTAATGAAACAGTAATTCATCGCGCGTCGTTTCTCCACTAACAAGCCCGGTTTATCTGACTGCACGTGGCCGGTAGACCGAATCGTGAAATAGAATCAAGGTAGCTATACTACCGCAGATTACATCAAACCGTATATATTTTATCGAGTCCCCGGATATGATATTCTCGAGCGTTTCCGTTAGCCAGATACGATCAACGTCAGCTCGATCGTGTATTTATATCGCTCGCATATCCATCCTGCGACGATGATGAATCCTCCGGTAGCGATGTCGGGAACGGAATTAAAATCATCGTATTTCCTAACCAGTTTATCGGATCCACGAATCAGGGATAATACGAACAAGTGTTATCCCAGTTTGCAAAAAAAGTCCGATGCAGTTTCAGCTCTGCGGGATCAATATGTTTTCATAATCAATCGTCTTTCTCGCGATACTCCAGTTTAATGGCCTGCAAATTTAACCGTTGCAACAGGACTTGAAGAAAATTATGAAGGATATTGAAATTAACTACGCGTTAAAGGAGAGATCCTTTAAAGGATCTTACGCGACCTTCCACATTTCCGACGGAGAGATAATTTTGAAATATTAAGTTAATCAAAAAGCTCGATTCAATTTTCAATAAATAACGTCACATAAATATAATATAGTCAATAATATCGATAATGTTCACATATTAGATTGTATTATTATAAAAGCGACATTTTCACGCTTGGTTATCTGGTTGATGAATAATTTGTCTGAATTATATTATTTAAATGAAATTTGATAAAGTCAAATTCAGCTCAAAAATAGAATCGAGTTTTTAGAATGACACGATGATTAATTACGATCACATTACGATCACAATTATTGGCAATCGTTTGATAATTGAGTTTATGTTTCTTTTTCTCCTGCGGATAAGATCAGGCGAAATCTGAAGGAACTACTACGGTTTCTCGCATGAATGATTCAGCCATGGCTATGCTACATCCATATAGCTACGTTCTCGAATTACCCGTGATAAAGCCGACGTCGGCGGTGTTTGAGTTACGTTGTTTGATCGCCGGGCGAATGTTTAGCCGTGAGTAATGTCAGCATTCTTGACGGCAGATATCTAGCCGGACATCTCGACATTCGATAGCACAGTCGGTGTAACGTCGTCCGTATGATTTACTCGTCAGTCAGGTGAGGGACAGCCTCTTTCTGTCTTATTTCGCCCGGCCGTCTCGACAGTGCGACGGTGATCGCGAGTGTGAGATGATGTACACGTTAAAGTGGAAGTACTTCGAGCTTATTGTGGTGAGTATAGAAGACACTATTTTAAAATGCCATTTATATTCTAACAACGTGTCGTGTCGTTTCTCAAATATTTCCATCTTTTTCTCATTCATGTATTCGCGATGATTTTAATTTTACAACTTACAACCCTTTTTACTACCAAAACTAATATTAATATTCTACAAGCTCGCTTAAAATATTCAAACCAAATGCTTATTTTCGTATAGTCGCGTAAATTTCGCTATGGGTTGCGTTCCATAATAACAGTTTCGCGATCGTCTCTCGATATGGCTTGAAACAGCACGAAACAGCTCGAAACATCACGCCCGAACGCGTCATTCAAAATGCATCGAACGATAATTTTGTATTCGTCGCGGCCCTGAGGGGTGTAGTCCCAAAAATACTGACTGCACTCTAACTTGAACGAGCTTCGATCGCAGCCGGAGTAAACGCACGTTACTCGCCAGACGAATATTCGCGATGTTTCTAGCTTGAGTCTACCCTTTCAGTTCCTCCTGTTCACTTTGAATCACGGTGAGCTGTTCAGGCAGCGGATGCAGCAGCAACGATACAATCCCGCGGTGCCGCCGCATCTCGCGCCACCCTGGGAGTACATAGTTCGCGAGATTATCCTCAAGTCGGTCACCCCGTCGCCGGCGGATGCCGAAGCGCCCCACAGGCGTCCGCTGGACGCTTCCTTCTATGGCGGTCCGGTCGCTGTGTACTCGAACCACGACGAGAATGTCACTCTGTCGCAAGGCAAAGTCTATCACCTGCTCAACGGCCACTGGATGCTGTGCCAGGACGGATGCGTCGACTGCAAGCCGTGCGTAGCGCAAGGAAATCCTTCATTCAAGTGGGTCCTGCGGAGACTCAAGCGATTGCCGGCTTCTAACCCGCGACATGATCTTCAGCTAACGATAATGCCGCAGGCGGATAGACACTTCCACACGAGCAATCTCTGGCCGAATTCCTACGTCTACGTGACGTCCCCGGGAGCGACCTTCCCTGTCGGCAGAACGTACCAAGACAACGACTCGAATTCCTCGGCCAGTCTGGAGAACAGTTTTCCCCAGCAGCATCATCGCTCGGAGAATACCTGGCAGCTAAAGGAACAGGATTCCGCTCGGCAGTATGAACGCGTCAGCGTCCAGGAGAACGCAAGCACTGAGAAGACCATGCGAGAAAAGTCACCTAGGCAGAAACACGAATTCAAGAACACCTGGAGACATCGTCCTCGAAAGAGACCCGTGAAAGAACTCCCGTTGAGCGCCCCGACCAATCGCGAGGTCACTGTTGTCAACGACAGCGAAGAGTCGAATCAATTGGAGCCGAAATGGATCCTGGTAGTCGATCAACGCGGTCAAAAACAGTTGATTCACGTGGTGCCGTTGGACCCTGTGTTGACCATCGCGCACTTCGTGAATTTCCCTGCCCCAAATCGCCTAACGTCGTCACACATCGCGATGGGTCAAGCGGCACGTTCGAACAAAATCATCCCTGAGCGCGATGGGCAAACTTACCAGCCATTCAGCAAGGTCTTCGAGTCCTTGAAGACGCACAGGCGATCGATCGAAGATTTCCTCGAGTCGCCGGCGGAAGACGTGAACGGGCGTGAGATGCATCCCTCGGGGGATAATACGGAAGTCGCCGGATTTCTCAAGAACAATCGCGATGCTGATCGTACGAGTGTTGATCTCCAGGCGACGACGCGGCTTGATGGTGCGTCGTCATCGTCTTTTTACGCGACAGATGATGGTCGGTTGGGGATGCACCGAGGATATGGGAGTAGGCATGGCTACGATGACACGAAACAGGTTTTCAATAATTTTATTCAGAATATATTCAGAATTATTTTTATTCAGAATTATTTTTTTACAGTAATTTTTATTCACAATTTATTCAAAATAATTTCTTTAAATTGTCAACACAGGCCCATTAAGAGCCTAAGCACGGATGTTTTGCTTCTATTACATATTAATAATGTCCATTTATTAACACGATTGTAGGAGAATAAAGTTATTTATAATGTGTGCTAAACGACGCGAATTTTTTCTCATGGAAATCAAATTTATAACGAATAATGGGAATCAAAAGTCGGTTCATATGTAAAAAGCTGTCGCTGCGTTTCAAGCCGAAAAAATTCGAGTTATTTCACATATATTATAAACAACTTTATCCTCTTCCCCAATCATATTAATATAAATTGACATTATTAATATATAATGGCATTGAAAACATTCTTGTTTAAGTTCCTATGACTCTAAATTGACGATTTAATTTCCATCGGAGCCGTTATACTTTAAAACATTTTTATAATTTTTATAAAATTTATTCAGGACATGAATCTAGGCAAAGTGTTGCATAGTCAAGTTTTGACGAATTTGGATCGAAGCAGAGAACGACGAAAAATACACATCAAACCGTACTCTGTCGATGGTACGAGGCAAAATACTTTGAGAATAAATCCATCGATTTCATCACAAAGTTCGGACTACTCTTCGGCAGTTGCTGTTCCGAAACCTGCTTTCGGAAATGGCTTAGTTACAAACTCCGCGAAACAAATCGATCTTAATGACACGTCAGTAAGTAGAGCGAGCACGTTGAGTAACAATGATTCTATAGAATCAAGTTCGATAACGACAAATCGCAAGAGCGAACAATTATTCACTTCCGAAAGTCTGGAAAGTGGCAACGCTAATCGAGATTTTAAAGTTTTGCGCCACCCTTTCAGGATAATTGTTACTACCAAGTCGCCGGTAATTCTAAGAGAACATGAAACGCAAAATCGCACTGACACATTCCTAGTAACTATTTAGAAAGCACTTGCTGATAATTCTTAATTATCAGCTATAGCTCTAATTATTTACTATTTGTTCAGCCATTCTATTTGCAATATTACTTAATTAATTAACTCATTGCTTATTGAAATTAAGAAATGCTTAAAATGCGAATATTGAAAGATAATGGGATATCAAAATATTCTTGAATGAAAACGGCAATAAATGACACTTATAGTTTAATGGTTAGGAATAATAATCTGTATAATATATCTCGAAATTTTCCATTGATTTTTTAAGCTAGATGGAAGTTTTAAGCTCGATGGAATTAATGTAAAATCAACGTTTCGAAATTCGGGAATTATGTAGTTAATTCTGATGTAATTATAAGAAACTTCTCGAGTCGCGAATTTAACTCAAGTTTAATCTAATTTAGTTCTATATTAAGTGTTTTAAAGTCTTCTATTGTGCTCGTTTGGTGCTACAAATGGAGCAATCAGTGCCGTTTTTCCAATTTAAAGACTTAATATAGAAAATTTAGACCCCGGAAAACTAAATTTTATGCGTAGCATTAAAGGAGCATTTATTGTGTTCGTTTGATGCCACAAGTGGAAACTTATTTCTGTTTTCTTCACTTGAAGACTTAACGTAGAATTTAAAATTTTGATTCAGGTCCCACGCATAGTTTAATCAAAGTATCTTGTTAATATTTATTAATTAAACATGTATAATAAATAAACGCGCATAAGACAAGAGTAAATACAGGTACGTATTGCAAAAAATTACGGAGAGATGTTTATTTAGTAAGGATTTCGCGAAGTCATAATCTCGAGTTTAAAAATGCTCGAGTAAACAGGATGGCTACGTTGGTAGATAGTATGCTTTTGTAATGTATCTTGCAATTAATGCAATGCAAATATATTACCGTAATACACTTTATGCGTATACAAGCGCCTCGTCGTACCAACATAGGTATATCTAGAAACTGCGAGAGAGGGTACTGAAGGATACGTACGTAAGGAAGAGAACGAGCGACGTTAGGTGCGCGAAACAGGGATAGGCCGACGCTTATATTTAATTAAAAGGGATACGGGATCGCAGGAGAACAGAGCGAAGAGGGGAAAGGGGTTGGAAGGAGAGAAGGTCGAATGAAACAGGTTGCGTCGGGTTGGCAAACGGGGCGGCTGGAGCGAGTCTGTGTTTCTTGTCTAATTATCTACCCTCCTGTCCTGGCCGACCTGCCACGTTCACTTTCTACGTCTAACAGTTGCTTCCATCCAACCCGCTCTCGTCTTATCTCTCTCTTTCGTTTCTCGTCTCACAACTTCTCCTTCTTGATCGCACGTCCTTCTCTATCTATCTCGTACTTTCTTTTCTCCTTTCTACCGTCCTGACGGAGACCCCGAGTAAGACAGACGAATCTGTCCGATACACTTCCCTCGGCCGCGCGTCCCAGATTTTAACCCGTCCGCTCACCGATGAACGCGCCAATTGCAAATCGCCTCGAGGATCGACCGGACGAACTCCCGGAAGTTTTTTTTAATTAGATCCCCGCCATCCCCCTTCTCCCGACGATTAAACAGCGTTAATGTGATCAGGAATAAGATTCGCCGTCCTGTCCACCGTGTTTGCGCGTGCGACTCCTTTGGAAAATTTCTCACTTTTTCTTTTTCTTTTCTCCTTTCTTCTCGGGTAATCTTTCCAATCGTCTTTCGTCGCTGTCTCCATTCGACGTTCCTCGCTTGTCCTTCGGCAGTTCTTCACCTGATCTCGGTCACCCTTCGTTGCCACCCTCGCCTTCCCTCTGACACCCCCCACGTTCAACTGCTCCGCAGTCGGTGCAGTCGAACGGTGCAAAACGATCGAGTCGATCCCTGGCAGATTGGTTTTAACGAGTTTCCTTTCAGCGCGGTTTATCGAGGAATTGCGGGCGCTTTCGGCGAGCCCTCGGCGTGCCGAATACGCCAGGGAAATTTCCACGGAAGATCTTAATTAAAGACGCCCGCCGAAAAATGAGAGCTCCCCCGGTTTGGGGGAGAAATAGCGTTATTGGCGCGCCGACGCGGCGGATCCGATTATCGCTCGGTCTGATCTATTAACTGTGTGTACGTAGCTTAAGGGGATTCGCGAAAGTTGGGCTGCGCCGCGACGCAGGTAAATACGCAGGCCGATGAAATTTTAGTTAAAAGATACTCCACGATGAAACATGTATTTTAAATATATAAACAGGTGAAAGCTCGACAGATTTGTGGGACTAGTCGCAGTAATATTTCCGTCGTAATTTCATTTTCAAATATAGCGTAAATCCTCGCCATCTGAAATCTCTCTTCCGTGACTACAAACATTTTTTGTTTATTACGATATTCAGCATACTGATATTTTCATACAGTGAGTTATTTGTTAAATAAGCTTCCGCAAAAACAGTTGTACGCAGTCTCAAAAAATACTGAACCGCCAATACGACAGGCAAATATTTACCAAGTTATGGGGATAACAGTGTCCCTTCGGAGGAAAAAAAGATTCGGCGGTCTAAATTCAAGCTATTTTATACGAGAGAGCACCCTCTCACGAATCTACTCGCACGCAACTCGGAGATAAGCGCGCTGCGCCGTAAGTCTATCGGGCTTTCAGACGGCAAAAAGTGGAGGAAGCGGAGACGAGATTGGGAGTAGGAGAGAAAAGAAGCCCGGCTTTTAACAGTAAGACGATGGAGGCCGGGACCCGTCTGATAGGAGATTGACGCTCTAGCGTGAGAGACCGACGCGGGGGAAAAGAAAAGGGAAACAGGGCTTACTAAACGCGCGGCGGAAAGGGCGGTCTCTCCGCCGTTTTCAGATATTTAAATCCGCGCGAACGACTTCGGNGGGGGGAGTTCCGCTCGCGGACCAGCTCGCACCCCCGCGATTCGAAATCTCGCGGACGAGAGATTCCTGGCGTGGCGAAGCCGCTCCTGTCTGGGTGCTCGAACGAGAGGAAGAAACGTGGCGCGAACGGCGAGAAGGAAGCGAGGCGGTAGGAGAGATACGAAGAGAGTGCGGAGTGAGTTGTTCGAGCGTGACGTGTATTCTTGTCAGGATGAGACCGAAAGACGTAGTACACAGCAGACTTTACAGGCCGCTTGCCGGAGAGGAAAAAGAAGGCGACAGGAGAGCAAGGAAGGAGCGAAGGAGAGAAATTGTGGAGAAAGAGAGGATCCCCGGTATGTACTTCTTAATGGTGTGGGTGTGCCGGCGGATGGAGGAGTAAGTTTTAAAAACATCCCGGCCGACGCGCCTCCGTGGTGCTGGTTTTATCGCTGCCTCCTGCCTTCAGGAGGACTCTCTTCCTCCCTCTCTCTCTCTCACTCTTCTGACTCTGCTCCGTAAACCCCCATCCGGCAAAGCCCTACCAGCCGTGGCACCGGAGCACTTGCGTACGTACGTACTGTCGGCTGTAAATCCACCGAAAAGCATCTGCGGGTATCAAGAAACAAGTCCAGGCTGCAACGTGGACGGGTGAGCTTTTAAACCTGCATGAGCGCGCGATGTGCAATTTAGTAACGATCTGTGCACGCAGGTGCTTCGGCTAAAACAACGGGAAAAAGTTGCCGCCTAAAATGCGCACGCTGTGATACACTCAAGAGGGTGCTTAAGGTCTTTTTATTGAACGCGCGTTTGTCGCGTGCGCGTTAATGTGCAACGCCGCGAGAATATAACCCGGAATGGTCATATTCGCCAGAATATTCGCGTTCCCGTCGTTTTCCACGGCGAATAAAATTACGGGCTGGACGAGCGTGCGATTTGTGGTTTTTGATTTCACCTGTTTCGAGGTACCTGTAAAATCTGTAACAATTGAAAAGGACATTCGATATCTCGATGTTTGTGAAAAGCAGACACGCACTCACGAGTTGTAATACCGGCCAGCGCTAATGACAATTCGCACCGTTGCATTGCGACTGATTAATAGCAACGCTAATTCGTCGACTTGTTTCGATGAGCGGCTGTTAGAGCTACAGGCTACGTAATAAATTACGTAGCAACAAAATGAATTACGCGGGACGGCCAAAGAAGGCGGCTAAGAGACGTTTTTAGCGGAACTTCGCCGCTGACGCGAAACTCCTTCCTCCCTCGTCCTGCAGTCTCGTCCGTCCGCTTCGACGTTGCCGCGTTCACGTCATTCTACCGGAGCCTTTTTGCTCCAGATACTTTCCCTTTGACCGACAGGAGTAGATTGGATATTTCTCCTTGTAGCGAGGCTGCAGGTGCAGCGCCTCGGTTTTTCCCGTCTGCGAAACGGGCCCGACAAAACGCATACGCGTGTGAAACGGCGAGCCGTTTCCTACCTCGCTAACGCAATGCGCGCGAATTCACGCGCCCACACGCAGCTGATCGAGCGGATCATGTCGGCGGCGATATTGGGGTACCGATATTGGTAACAACGAAAGTGGCAGCCGTGCGGCGCGAAGCGGAGCGGCGTGAGAAACAAGTCGTCGCATCAACATCCTATTTCGTTTTCCATTACGTAAACGTCTGAAGCACGCGATTTATTTGTTTTATTTTCGCGCGGAATGTTCTTTGGCAGGACCTCAAAGGCAAGTCGGGCATGTCTATATCCCTCGCTGCCGTCTCGCTCGCCATCCTACTCTCAACCCTCTCCCTTTTGCTGCCCTCGCTGGCTCTCTCTCTCTCTCCTTCCCTCTCCGTCGTCGCCCTCATAGACCGGGACGACTCCTCACATATGATTACCATCGACGTGAAGCGAGCTAATATCCGAATTTTTGCGATTCCTTTTACGGGATATTGAAAGCCGTTTCCCTCGTTCCTTTTGCCTTGTCTTCTTCCATTTCAGAGCTCCGACTAGCTCCACCGAAATGCCCCCTTGTCTTTTTGCGAATTCGTCATATCGAGCTCGCGGCCGAAAATATTGATCGAACGGAAAGAGCGGGATTACGTATACACAGCAGCAGCTTCGTGGACTTATTATCCTAACCGCGCGGATTGAAAATGGAAATTTCGCGATA